TTTAAAAAGGGTAATGGACTAAGTGATATTTTTCCGGGAATGTTTCTGTTGGACGAGTTCAAACAATTTATAATATATCAGATATAAAATACGGAAAACTAGACATGATCCATATCAGATATAAAGAGATATTTATCATCACCACCTCATTCGTGAGATTTAAACCATCTTTGTGTGTGATAAATCGTGTGATCGCTGATCAAAAATTATATAAATTTAGTTACTATTTTTGAAAAAAACAATTTTTTGAATTGCTCGTTCGTTGTGAACGACTAGTACACGCGCAAAGGTAGATTTCTAAGCCATAAGCTGCTATCACTTCAGTTAAAATTAGCTTTATGATTTAGTAGTTTTCGCGAAATTTTAAACTTTATTAATGGGCAAAGGTAATTTCAAGCGTATCGGTGATTTACACATTGCGTATGTATAAAATTTTAGAATAACAGAAATCTAAACATTTTGTTTGAAAAATGAAAGTATAATTGAACTGAGACGATAGGTATATTTCACCAAACAAAAATAGGGTGAGTGATAATAGTATAAATTGAATAATTGTCTAAATAAGCTTAATTGAGGTCTTTAACTAAAGCTGTCTCTTAAGATTAACTAACTGAATAACAATATGAAAGAATATCATGATCTCTTGGTATTGATCATTTCAATATTCAATTCAATATTGTCTAAATTTTATTATTCTATTAATGTAGCATTCATATCACCTTTTAACAGGTTCATACTGTATATGAAAGGCATCCAATTTCAATGATAGGATATTCTCCTTTAGTAAGAATGATCTCTTTATTTTAACTATTTTTACGATTAGCAGCCAAAAAAAACAATTAATTATTTCATTCTATGTAATTTCAGAGGATGAATCTTACAGCCGTGTCTAACAAGTTTAAAGACATCTTTTTTGTGGCAATTTATGATTCTGTTTTTGCGTACCGGCTGAGTCCATACCATGACGACGATGATGATACGCCAAAAAAACCATTCAAAAAACTCAACCGTCCCGTAGATTCAATTTCTCCCGGTGATGAGGATGTAAGGACGATTACTATACTAAAGTTTATGGTCATTAGAGATATATTTGGTTTTAAGTTATTATATATTATAGTTACATGTAATTAATGCTATTAAAGTGGGAGAGATTGGGTATGAAGAAGTACTTGTTAGCGTTGATGAATCTGGAGACGTTCATGTTTGGTATACTTCAAACCTTGAAAAAATTCCGTTGCGTTTCAAGTGAGATTATCATCAATTGTAAAAGATAATACAATGATTTTTAATAAATACATTATCATCGAGTATCTAATATTAAATTCTGTTGGCTATAGAAATAATGAATCCACATGGGGTATAGCACTTCATGGTCCAAGACGGTTACTGGCGGTCAGTGCTAATTCACACGAAATCACAATTTTCAACCTACAATATGGATTACAACCATCAGCGAAATTCTCTGATAGTCAGGATATGAGTAACAAGCAAAAATATTCACTTCGTGGTCATAGACACAATATCCCTAATATATCGTTTAGCTCTTGTGGTCAATTTTTGGCTTCATGCAGTATCGATAGATCATGTCGAATTTGGAATGTTAATACAGGTCAAACTATAGCTGTTTGTGAGGTTTCTAATGAATGGTAAGGCTAATGGACATATTCATTAATTTAATACTTGCATATGTCGATTGTTTTTTTACCTATCCATTTTAATAGGGGTTGGTCTACATGTTTTGTTTCTACGTCAAATTTCAAGAACGCAAGTAACGCCATACCACGAAATCTTCGTATGCGCAAAGATATTAATGACCGATCACGAGTTCGTACTGATCGCATATATTCAGAATCAGAGAGAGATAATATGCCGACAGCTTTACGTTCCGTAACTCCTACTATGAGATTTTTTCCTTTGGACACTGAATATGAAGATGGATATGATGAAAGCACGGAAATAACAACTTTAGTTTATAATGATTACGGAGCAATCGAAACAATTGAAACTGAAGATGAGGAAAATGAATCTAGCTATTCGGATGCACAAGGAACGAATCATAATAACGAAAACGTATCAGATGACTCAGATCATGATCATGGCTCGCATACCCCGGTTCCGGATGATATGTCCGATGATGAATGGTCACCAAGCGCTGAGACTCGAGATATGTATAGTAACAATCTTAATGTTCGAAACAGTGATGAAATATCGTCCGAACGCACGGAGAACGGGAATACTTCAACATATTCATCAAGACATCCGTCACCCATTGTTTATGCTAGTCGTTTTCCATCAACCTCGATTGCTCAACAGATTTTACCGGAAATTTACTTTGCCAATAATTCTCCAGCGTATTCTCCAGGTATAATTAATTAAAGCTTCAATATTATATGAAAAGTTCGATGTTGAAATCCATAAATGATTTGTAACCAGCAACGCCTCAATATATGCAAGAACCAAGTTCTTCAACAACATCTAGCCTTGGACAAAATTTACCACATACACCGCCGGCAGCTTACTCACCTCCACAGCCGACGCCATTGATTAATGACGTTTCCACATCTCAGGAGCAAGTAACTGCAACATTTTCGTCGTCGTCCTTTAATTCTGAGCATATTAGACCGGAATCTCCTGTTTATTCTCCGATGTCACCAGAATATTCACCAATTAATACGAACTACAATCCAGAATCACCGCATTATGATCCGATGTCACCCCAATATACACCCACATCTCCAAGCTATAATCCAACTTATGCACGTCCAAGAGCTCAAGATTTTTTTGATGATATTCCTGACAACTCATATGAAAATGAACGGTCACCACGATCATACAGGTTATTATTTTATATTTTTATATCATAAAATTATTTTGCTAAAAGAATTTATAATTTACTTACTACAGTCTATTATTAAAAATTCTAAAGTCATTCAGAGGAACAGGAGGGAAGCTACCGATCACAATCTTTGGACCGAAGAATAGCGATTGCAATAGACAATATGGAAATGCATAAAACACTGAAAGGACGAGCTCCTAAGATTTCTCAGGACCTCATATTATTTGGCTCGCAACATGATTTATTTCTTCTTGATCCGAAATCAAATCTATCTATTCAGAGTTCATTAAGGAGTGTCGTTTGTAAGGGTGATTCAAGAAGAGCGAGACATTTAGACTCAAATGATCGATTAAATATGGTCGAGGTAAATTATCCAGTATCCTGTAGTATATAGCTGTTACACATATGTACGTGTTAATTGTTTATTCATAATTACGATATAGTGGATTCCTGATCTCTCACTCGCAATAGTTGCAAGTCAGAAAGGAAAGGTTGCATTGGTTAGACTTCTTAAGTAAGTTATTCAATAATACGTACCAATAATAGAAAAATAATTATTCGTTTATTTACTTGTCCGTTTATTTAAAGAGAAATCAGCATTAAGGGGATTGAACGCTATTATCTTCATGACGAAGAACTCATACCTCGGACTCCTTTACCAAACGCACCATTGATAGGTTAGAAATT